ATAAAACTTGCCGTATTTTTTTTGTAAAATGTATATGAAGGTTTAAAATATAAGTTACTTTTACGAAATTGTAATTATAATGCATTTCTATTATATACGGTAATTTAATTATTACTATAAATTTTTTATATCATTTTAATCAGTTGTATTGTATATGCATTTGATTATTATCTTTAATTTAACTAAAATCTTTGAATTTTTATATAATTTCAATGCATTTCTATTATATACGGTAATTTAATTAGTACTATTAATTTTTTATATAATTTTAATTAATTTTATTGTATATGCATTTGATTATCATCTTTAATTTAACTAAAATCTATACTATTAATTTTTTATATATCACTTTAATCAACATTTGTATAATATTATGTGAGAGTATGAAAAAACTGGAGACTTGGCAACTCTGACACCATTTAAGCCAACGTTAAATGTCATATAAATGCTTGGTTAGGTTAGAGTGCCCGCAATTGCGAAATGCCCATATATATATATATATATATATATATATATATATATATATATATATTATATATATATATATTTATATATATATATTATATATATATATATATATATATAAATAAATATATATTGGATAAAGTATGGAAACAACTTAGTATCTTTGAAACAAAAAAACGCTATTCATCAAACATTGCATGTGAATACAATGAAACTTAACGCATTTTGTTGTTATCGGAAGTACATTCAACTGATCTAATTTAAATGAATCACCATATATATTTTCGCAGATTTTAAAAGACCTTGGTATTCCTAAATTCATAAATACCAAGTTAGGTAGAAAAAAATGTGCTAAAACGAGAACTAAAAATTCGCGAGTTACTCTTTCTAAGACTTCTCCACGTATTAGTTCACGTTCATCATTCTTTGTTTCAAATCTTGGAAATATGTTAATCGCCATATTAAACACTTGATTTTAAATAATACCAAAGAAAAAAATCTAACGGATTAAAGTGTGGATAGTAAGTAGGTCACTCTATGAATCCTCTACGTCCAATCGTAGATAAAAATGATAGTGGGGAAGTGCTTCATCTTGTTAAAACCAACAATTTTGTGGTAACTGACCATTCGGTTAAAAGTACAGGAATAATATGGTTATTAGGTAAATCTAAATAGTTGTCACCAGTTAAGTTTCCGTCTAGAAAAAATGGGTTTATAAGGCTATTTTGTACAATTTCCGTCCTTTTTGGATGCTGTTCTAACACAATCACAACAACCGATCATTATTAATATTTAAATATTTAATTAAATGAGCAATTTTTTATTCTAAAACTGTGAATTCGTATGTCAACAGTTACCTACTAGATAATACTTATTAATTTTTTACTACATGTTTTAACCTAAAACACCAGTTTACGGTTTTACTTTAATTAGACTAGTAAATAAATAATATGTTTATACATTGTGAGGATGTAAACTTTTGCGAGCATTTTGAACATGTGAAGTGATTTTTTTAATTTGTTGTTCCCATTGGTCTTGGAGAATAAATGTACTTACCTATTCTTTAACTGTAAAGTGGTGTTAGTAGTTTTAACAAATTTCTTCTATCAAACTTAGTATATCTCTATTAGGAATAACAAGTTATTCATAATCTACAGAAATGTGCAGGGTGTCCCATAAGTTGAGGGTATTTCCAGTGAAACCGAAAGAAGAGTAAATATAGTGCAAACACTCCTGACCATAGTTGTACGGAGGCGGAGTCAAAATTCCGTGGTCAGGAGTGCTTGATCTCTAGTAAGAAAAAATATAGAATTAGATGCGTTATACAATACATGTATTTGCATGCAAAGTTTCGTGAGTACCGTCTTCTCCATTTGAAAATATTATTTACTTGTTTCGATACTTTATCCCAATCCCATTTTATCAGTATAACAAAGAATAAAAGTATGTAAAAAACAGTATGAGTGCAGAAGATTTTCAAACATAAGCTACAAATAGAATTCCAAATCACTATGCAACATATTAATACCACGTTGTTTTAAAAATTAAAATAAAAAAGTTACCAGTGTAAAGTCGACTTTACTTAATGTTGCCAATATAACAAAATTTATAGTTTAGAATAAGACTTAATCCAGGGACGTTATTTATTTATACGTCCATGACTTAACCTTATTGTATAAGTGTAAATGTTAATTATTAGATGTAATAATTTGTGATTTATATTTTTATATAATTAATGCTGGACTGAAATGTTTAAGTGAAATATCTAAAGGTTAATATTTTGATATATTTCTTGTATTGGCAACAGTGAGTGGTGTCTCAAAATTGCACGAAAATAGCTCTGATGTAAACAGATCACAATTATCTATCTTACAATTATTTTTATTTATTGACGGGTACCAATTTCTTATTCAGTGTACCCACGATAGTCAACTATATCATGCTTTTTTCAAGACAATATATTTAAAAAATATATATCACAATAACTATATAGTATTCTATTTTTAATTTTTCAGTAGTTATTAGAAACAGAGACGAATGATTAAAAATGTAAATGTTCATAAATAGTTCTTGGATTTTCAGCTTAATTAAGAAAATTTTACCAACTTTTTCAAGTACATTTTGGGAATAACAGAAATTGCAATGTAAACATTTCCTGTCGACATTTCGGGTTTATGGGTCTATGACCATATAAGTTCGTTGTCAATCACCTATAACATAATTGGTAGAAAAAACCAAAGACGATCTTGAAAAATTATTTAGACTATAATGTAAGATTTTGTTATATGATGCATGATTATTGTTAAAGTTTTTGTAAAAGAATATACCTGTATAATAAAATGTTTATACTTTATATAAGTAGTCTTTTTTACATACGGTAACATGTACCTCCTCCGATGGAAAAATGGATAAAAAATCAGATAGATCATATTCCAATTAGAAAGCGAATATTATAAGGTTATAGTCGATTGCAGGAGTTACGAAGAGGCAGCCTTCCAACAGTAGTAACAGAAGTTACCAACAGTAACCATACACTAGTAATAGCTAAATTAAAACAAAAATTTGCCAATAATTCCAAAATTGTTAGAGATTGATAAAATTACCAATTAGAGCGCCTTCCAGAGAAACAAGTAGTAAACAGACTAGAGGAAGAAATAAATAAAGGCTACAGAAGCCAGTGAAGTAAAACATAATAGAAGACATACAGACAGATATGTTAGCGAAAACAGAAACGGGGAAGGCAAAAGAATTTGCAGAAGAAAGAAAAAAAAAGCAGCCAGAAAAGCAATTGAAAAACATAAAAACCTACATAAACAATCAGGTAAAAAATTTCTATCAAGAAGTTAGGAAATCCAAAAAAAAACTAAAAAAATTATACAAAGTATGATAATAAATAAACAAAGATATTTTACTTCTAGGAAAAAGTACAGAAAAATCACACAGATAGGCGGAGTAGTTCGAAGATCAGTTAAATACAGACTTGCAGGAGGAAGTATATGGAAATTAGAATTGGCAAGACGATGATGAGGAAACGTGCAAGGAACCAATTCTGAATGAAGTTGAATAAGTAATAAGAGACCTAAAAAAAGAACAAGAGAGTAGGAGAAACCGCCAGCCGAGATTATTAAAAAGGCACCGAAAGACTACAAGAAAGAATCTTTCGCTGAATATTAGCAGTTTGTTCTCAAAATTTATTATATGTATTTTGAGAACGATTTCCGAAGTGAAATGTCAATAAACGTATTCAAACCTTTAATTGTGGCTTATGCCCAATTAAATAGTAATTAATTTAATTAAAAATTTGATATATGTATTTTTTAACAAAATATGTTTTGCTTAACTATGGCAACACTGATTAAAATTACACTTCTTGAGCAAATGAAATGTCACTTGTTCTTGTTTCATGCTATATAATGGCGGCGGCTTTTAAAAATGAGATATTTTAAATAGAAATTGCATAAAAAAATAATGTTTTGCGCCCAATAGAAATTCATTGTACAATCATCAGTAAGTGAAGCAGAATTCATTGATATAAATTTCATATCCGTAAAATTCGTACCATATTGCTACACTAGTAGGTACCATAAATTCTTTTGTAAGTTTAGTACTCTTGTCTTATAATCTGTGTTTAGTACATATTATCTTATTATGATCCTGGAAGTACTCCAATAAATTCTCTAATTCCACCGTAATCTAATGAAAATTGCCAAAACAAAATTCTTAAAAAAAAAATCTATAAAAACTCATTCTATTTTCTTTTGTGGAAAATACAATTTGCCACACGCAACTTTGAAGAGTCTTAAATTCTGTTTCAAAGTTTTCCCCATTAATACAAGATTATGTGCTAGTCCGAAAACCTACCTAAAATTATTAAATAGCTTTCAAAGGATTAGTAGGTACAGAAGGGCGTGTTTTTGGTAATTTGGTTCATGAACTTTTAAAGCTTCCAAAGGAAAATCAGAATTGGTATTACCTCTATAAAAAGAGATGGTTCAATTCGAGTATAGAAATGGTTTAGCATGACATGCTGAAAACTCGTTTTAAATTTTACTAAATGTGGTAAAATATTGTATAATTAAATTAAACTCAATATTAAAATATTAAAAAACAATATTAAACTCAAAACAAACATATTCCTATATCGACGTGATATCAACAATACAAAAAGATAGTTTAAAGTACGCCCCACAGATAAATAATACAGTATTATACATAAAACAAACATATTCCTATATCAACGTGATATCAACAATACAAAAAGATAGCTCAAAGTACGACCCATAGATAAATACATAATACAGTATTATAGGTACGTCCCCCGTAATGTTAAAGACGGCCATGTTCAAAGTTATCATAATTGACATATTAAATGTCATAATAAATTTCTTTTTTCTAAATTAAATTTATTGCTTAAAAACTAATTTATTTGATTATTAAGAAATGAAAAAGTTTAATCGATATTTTGAAATTATTTGTGAAACTCTAACAAAAATAAAAAGATAATACATTATTCTCCATCAGTAAATTTACAATTTCTAAAGTTGGTAGAAACTAAATCCGACAGCCAAATCCCTTTCAAATTTGAAACTCAAACTCAAATTATTTGTGTAGATATAAATGTCAATATTTGTAATAATTATTATTAGTGGCGAGTTATATATTTATACGAGAAAGCAATAGGACCATGTAAGTCTAATATATTTCTACTAAAACATAATATAATTAAACTAAAATAGATACTCATCATCAGCAGCCTTACCTATAAAATTTAGCGTGTATAATTTCAGCGTTTAAATTATTTGAACAACGCATACAACTTTCTACAATAATTTCTATTTTTCATCGTGCTTACCAGTTCTATATGTTGAACATTATTTGGTGTGTTTGTGATATTTTTGTATTACATGGTTTAATATCATCATTTTTTAAAACAGATGGTTTCCAAAATAATAATTAGGTGCTCTCTTTATATTATCAAGTATGGTGCTTCTACATCAATAAATATATTTTTTTATTTCAGATAACCATAAAAATAAACAATATGGAACAGCAAACACAATATATGTTAGAGCCTGAAAAAGTAGTACTCCCAACGGAGTATCAAATGAATCATCAGCGAAATACTAATTTTGATGATCAAGTCATTAATGGCCAACCACCTGAAGTAGTTAATCTTACTAATGAGAGTATAGAACTGGAAAACATGAACCTTAAACTAAATTACAAGCAGGCAGAAGAAATTATTCATAAGCAGTGTAAAGCCTTTATCAAACAACAGGTACATTCTTTAATTATTTTTAATAAAATTATAGCGTTGCAAAAAATTGTTAATTTTTGCAAATTTGGGATAAACAAATTAAATTGTTTAAAAACTATTCAATGAATCGTTTTACAATTTTTATTACATATTGTTTAGTAGTGTATAGTTTTTAACAATTTATAGCATTTTAAGATTTTTACCTCTTTTTAATGTTTAATAAATAAATGAATCAAAAAACGTTTACAACAGCTCATTTTAAAGGCTTTTTAAACTGAATTAACCGATTTATATATAACGGGTTTTTCTTCTAGACAGAAATTCTAAAAATTAGCAATTTTTCGCTTAAATTGTTAATAAAACAAAAAATATGAAAAAACTGATTGAACTTGCATAACTTTGTTATTCTACTCGTATAGAATCTATAACAATAGATAGTAGCATTGGTTAAAAAAGATTTTTTTTAACAATAATAGTAGTTATCAAAATACACTATATTTTTGAAAATTTTTTTGAGATGTACTCAATGCACCTATGGTCTTGTTTGACCTGCAGAATAGTAGCAATTTACACGTCTGCAGATCTAATTCAATTGAATAATAGTTTCTAGATCTGTTTTTTCAGGGGTTAAAGCACATACACACAGATGGACACACAAAAACTCATAATACAATATTGTTTATCATTATTCTTTGTTATTGTTTCTCAGAGTTGTATAACGATCCCTCACAGATACAAATGAAAATAAAATTATTGAAACATAAAAAATAATAAGTAATTATTTTTAATTAGTTTTATTGTGATATTTTAGGAAATACAGAAAACGAAATCAGAAATTCTTACACGACAAAATAATCATATTCTACAGAAGATAAACGCTGAAAAGAAGACTCTTGAGTTACTACAACTGGAAGCTGATAAATTAAACTCTGAAATTGGAAGATTAGATGAGGAGACCTCACATATTGTACAAAGCCAGCAAAATGCTTGTGAAATTGTAGAAAAAATGCAACAGTATGTTACAGAATTAGAGCAGAAAGCCAAAAATGTAGAAAAGAAGCGTAACGAAATGTTGACCAAAGCCGAAAACCAAAAAGAAAAATTTCAAAACACTATCAACGCCGCTGTAAAAGAACGCAATCGTCGCAGAGATTTGCTTTTCGCAGCAAATAACCCATCAGGTAACGGTGATGATGATTCTTTACGCAAAGAAAATTTACACCTGAAACAGCAAATTAATGAAAATCGCGAAGAGTTAAAAAACCTGGAAATATTGTATTCTTTAAAAGTCGAAAAAAAGAATCTTGAAACTGGTTTATATGAGAAGAAAAATAGGTATAATGAGATTGAAAAGAACTTGGAAGTTTTAAATAGTATTCAGGAGCACACTCTTACTCAATTGAATGAAGAATGTGAGAAACAAATTAAACTGAGGTATTTGTTATGTTTCTATATTTTGTATTATGTTGTTGATATAGTTCTTAGCATGGTCTGTTTTCAGTGCCTTATTTCTTTCTAATACGTTTAAAAAGAATAAGAATATTTAAAAGAATAATTTATTTTATTTTGTATACTGTTACTCTAATTTGGATTTAGCAAGAATACTTCTCTTTATTTCTCGTTCTGTGTCTTGTTCAGCGTTTGCCTTTTTGTATTTCACCAGAAGTGTCGTTAAAAAATATATATACCTCTCTGCATCTCTCTCTCTCACTCTGTGTCTTATATTTGCATTTTACTCGAAGGGTTAGTTCAGCCAAAAATACTTCTCTTTTTTAGTATTCTTAGTATAAGTAGTTCTTAGTAAATTCGCAGTTAACTCGTTGTTTATAAATACAAACATGGACACTCTTAAGAAAAATCGTAGTACTTACAAGGCGCAATTCACCCGCATAGAAAAGTTGTACAGCGCTAATACCTCTTGTGATTATAAACATCAGTTGACGTCTCGTATAGACCTTATCAAGGAGAACTTAGCTAAGTATAACTCCATTCAAAATGAAATTGAGTTACTGGAGTCACCCAGTGACTCCGAGGACAGAGAGGAATATGAAAATAAATGTTTGGATATAAAATGTATCCTACAAACTCAAGTCGAAGCCTTAAATCAAGTGTCTTCCCGACCAGATCCTGATCATTTCTCTCGTAATGCCCACTCTCATATAAATATTAAGCTACTAAATATTCACTTACCCACATTTAGTGGAAACTGCATCGAATATCCTTTGTTTATCAACTTATTCAGAGCCCTAATTGTCAATAATTTACAGTTATCGTCAAATGTTGAGAAATTCTTTTATTTAAAATCATATCTAAAGGGAGAACCGTTAAAGCTAATTGATAGGTTGCCGGTAACTGATGATAATTTTGTCATAGCTTTAGATTCATTACACAGCCGGTATAGTAACCAATGGCAGATAATCCGCTATTATCAGCAGTTACTAGCCACTCCTACATTACAAAAATCTACTTCGAAATCCCTGAGACAATTTATTGCAAATTCTAAGGCAATTTTTGATGCCTTAGACACAGTAAAGTTAAGTAAAGCAGAATTGTTTGAATCCTTACTTGTTCATTTATTGGAACAAAAACTTGAGCACTCATCGCTCATTTGAGGAGCAAGTCTCAGTGAATAAGCTTCCTTCTATTGATGACTTTTTCGATTTTTTGAGTAAGCGTTGTGTTGTTCTGGAAAATATCAACTCCGAGAATTCCATTACGGCCCAACAACCTACGTCTAAAGTGACTAGATTCCAAGGTAATGACCATTCTCAACCAAGTAAGTTCAAGGTAGCTTTTCACTCACAATCAAACCCCTCTAGCCAAATGGATTCAAAATCAAAACCATATACCTCACAGCCAAAATCATTTTCAAAATAGTATATTTCCCTTTGTTATTAACTTTATTCCACCCTGTATGCCCAGAAGCCCTATTCATTCCAACAATAAACTCGAACGGTACTCAAACCCCGTTAAAAAGATCTGTTTCCGATACATCGGCGACGACGGCCCCAAGAAAAAGACCTGTCTGTTAGAAACTCTCGCGGAAGAAACATGGTGCTTTACTAACAAAATTTGTAATTTTGGTATTTGCGATTCTCAGAGCGTGTGTCTCTCTCTCAAGTGTTTAGCAAGAAGAAAATTTGTCTCCGCGATTATGAAACTAACAACATTGTGTAACCACGTATATTGTCACATATTGTACTCGCCTGTTTTTGTTACCTATAATACGTAGAGAAATAAAAGTTAGTTACAAGTTACTCTTATTCTTTACGTACCATAGACAATTAAAATAATAGTCCACTCAAAAACTCAGAGAATAACAACGGTATAAGTTAGTAGAAGATTGAAAGCACGTGGAATCACAAATAATTCCATCTCAAACGCCGGTATTTTCTCCATACAGCATGTGTTCGATGTTACAAGCCACGCCGAAATTGCATGTCACTCATTCAGCCATTCTCTGCACAGGTCTTCTTTGTGACAATAGTATTTTACACCATTTTCTCCAGTACATTATGCCAAACTTAATTTTTCAAATTTATTTTAGGCTTGATGATTTAAATTGTGAATTAAACCGAATAAATCAAAAGATAACGGAAGTTAAGAAGCAAAATCTTGATAACGAGATATCTTTAAAACGAACTCTAATTGCTGATACTAAAGAAATGATTAATAAACGAAACGAAGAGATTGCGGACAAGCAAAAACAGGTAGATAAGTTAAACGAGGAGTTTACAAGTAAAGTTGATGCTATAAAACAACAAATTGTTGAAGCTGAAAAGGAAGCAGATCGGTCTGGAGCAAGTATCCAAGAAAAAATGCAGGTATGTAAATTTTTAATGTATCATATTTAAACATTTAGATTATATAATCTTACATTTGTTATAAACTTTCCTTTTCATGAGTATTGGTAGCTACTCTACTTAATGGAAATGAACCACAATTTTAATTTTAATTTACCTTTACATTTCCGTTATAAATTTTGTTAGAATTTCTTAGCACTCGATTTGAATTTGTAGGTAGATTCTGTCTATTTCTTTCTGAAAATGATTATATATGCTCAAGTCCTGACCTAAATATTAATACAAGATATTTAACTAAAAAAAAAATTAAATTACTGGTTTGCCTGAATACAGCACCGAAGTCTGTTAGGCGATTCAATGATCGCTGTACGCATGACATCGTTAGGAAAATTGTCCACAGCTTCTGCAGCGCCTGCTTCAATGCCTCCACATTATAGCGTCGTCTTGTACCGAACAGGTCCTCTAAAACTGACCACAATTTGTAGTCGAGTGGATAAAGGTCTGGGCTGGCTGGCGGCCAATATTCACTACTAATAAATGAGGGTACATGATTTCCAAGGCACTGTTGAGTAGTTTTAGCCTTATGCACAGGTTCGGAATCCTATTGAAATATCCAAAGTCTATTTTAAAGCAAAGTGTGGATTATAAGCTCCACTAAATATGTTAAAATGTCTTGTTGATAATTGCTCGCAGCTGTCTTAACGCCTTTTTCACAAAAATGTAGCAATTCCATTCATCCTATACAGCTCTATTAGATTTAAATCCATGCTACATGGTGGCCAATCCAATCTTCGAATTAGGACCTCATCAAGATAATTACTCACTACGGCAGAGGCATGTGGTCGAGTATTAGCATAAATCTGTTATATCCAATCTAACCAATATATGGCAAAACATGATCTTCCGGATGTTTTGAACGTAATAATCACCAGTCATCCGTCAAAACGGTCTGGGCGACATTGCAGTTCTCCAAGTCTTCTGTAGACGTGGTTTTGATCATCTGGCTTCCATAATAGGATTCTGGTCTCATCAGTGAAAAGAACATTTTATCAGATGTCGATATTCCACTGAATATGTGTTCCTGCAAATTCTAAACGACGAGCTTTATGATTTTGTAGAAGATGTAGAACTTTAGCAGGGCGTCTAGGCTATCTAGGTCTAGTTTGCTTCTTTTAATCGTCTAATTCCGTGTAGAGATTTCGTGTAGAATTAAGAACCAAAAAAACGATCATCATAATTGCGTTGTGCACCTTGGGCGTTCTTGACCAGGCCTTCGTACAAACTTTCATGTCTCATGTTACCTACCATTTTAAAGTACTGGAAACTGTAGATTGACTTCTCCTGAAACGTCGTGCAATATATTTTTGTGTAACTTGTTCCTCATACAAAATTACAACCTGTGCTGCTTGGGCTTCATCGCAATGTTAAATTTGTGGCATAGTTGTTTTAAACTTGATTAAATCATTAAAATATATGATTTTAGGCTTTTGAATCCTTAAAAAAATTCTGCAAACAAGAGGAAAAAGATAAATTATTGAACAAAAAGTTTACATTGCAAGAAAAAATAAACGCCGATCAGGTTTTATTGGTCGAAATAAAATTACTGAAGGAAAAAATAGCGGCAAAGGAAAACACGATAGAATCCTTAACTGATGCCATAAATAATATATCCGATGATAAGTCTATATTGGAGATGTCAAGGAAAAAGTCATATTTGGATGCCTGCAAAACTTTCCTCGAAGAAAGAGCTGAAAACATCAAAAAGAGAAGGGATGTTGAAAAAACTAATATGCAACAATTACAAGCAAGTGTAGAGGAAATAAAGCATAAATGTGAAGAGAAAAGAAAAGAAATATTTAAGAAAACTGGTAAACGTTGCATTAGATTATATAATTTTTTCATTGTTACTTATGGTATTTTATGTTCTAGGAAAAAGAGTAACTCCTCACAAAGGGATTCTAAAAGGTAAAGGTCAAAGCAAGACCCCTCCTGTTTCCCCAAAAAAGGTAACGTTTATTAATGTATCTTCAGAATCAACCGTTTCTACTCAGGAGGATAAGGTAAGTTTGATAGTAAATAGTAAGTATATACTTGGTAATGCTTGATATTGGCCTGTAGTTCTGTAAAAAATGCTGTTTTTCCTGGTTTATAGATTGTGATCACATGGCCTTCTTTCCATCGATTAGGGAATCTTCTGAATCTCATCAGTGCATTTATTGTTTTGGTAAGATCAACGACTGCTTTCGCCGGGAGGTATTTTAGAGCTCTGTTGGTTATTTTGTTTGGTCCAGGTGCTTTCTTTAGTGAAGTTTTTCGGATTAGGTCGCTCACTTCTGTTGGGTATGCGCTCACTTCTTTTTCAGAGTTTGTTTGTTGGTAGTAGTTCATGAAACATTGTCTTTCTAGGGTGGTTCTCATCACTGCGGTGGTACATACTATGCCGTTTTCTCCATGTAGACGTGGCATTGTTTTCCTATTGTTTCTTAGGATCTTCTGTAGTTTCCACACATGGTCCATGTTTTTGCTATTGTTTCACATGGTTGTCCCATTATAACACATAAATAAATAAATAAACTTTTTAAATTCTTCACTTCTAAGGTCTTACGGAAATATAAAGATTTATATGTTTTTAAATATTTGTTACAGGAGGATTTTTTCGATAACATACTGAAACAATACAGAATGAAGCACAGAGATCTAAAACCGAAACCGAAAAGATTGGTTTTGGAAGATGAATAATTGATTAGCAAATGAAGACTATTCATTATTTAATAGGGGAGTTTTTTATTTAAGTTTACAAATGTTATTCTAGAATAGGCCTATCTATAAGTGCGTAATGAATGTTTAATTAGATATTTATATAATACAACTTAAAACTAATTTTCAAAACAAGAGAATTTCAATTAATATGAAACAACAAGCCAGGCTGGTAAGTTTTGTTCTTATATAAACCACCCCTTGCAATTGAATTCAAATAATCTGCACCTTTTGTGTGCCATATTGGACAATTTTAATATATAAATTATAATATAAAAATAAACTAGTCTACTACTCCTTCAATAATTCTTTTAAAGTTTTTTTTTGTACATTTTCAATCTAAATTGCCATCTTATATCGCTTCATATTTGGGAATTAATGTAACGTAAAAATTCGATAAAAATAATATCTAATTTTGACTTCATTGTTGTGATTAGGTACTTGTAAGTATATCTACTTTATTTAAAATTATGATAATATTAAATATCGAAGACGCAAATTGTTTATTATTAAGTTTGATTTAAGCATATACAAGGTTGGCTACTCAACAGAGTCCACCTTGGGGAGGAGTGGAGAATTTCGCTGTAGAATTTAGGCATTCATGATTTTTTTCATATTCATATATCGAAAGTGTTACACCTGTTAAAAACTACACTTAATTGCTATGTTTTACTAATGTTTCTATTTCGAACGAATTCAAAAAATACTGTTAACGCTATCAGCAACAGTTTAAATAGTAAAACTTTTTTCAAATTTCTTTCAACGCAGTTTTTGACGTAACAGAACAAAAGTGTCATTAACACTAGCAACACCTAGGCGTTACGTTTAGTTTTTAAAAGGTGTAACACTTTTACTACAATTTATACTTAGTTAATATGAAAAGAAAAGTCATGGATATTGATTGATGGAATATTGTTAATATTAAATTAAGAAACATAAAATGTATATGTGTTATAATAAAAACTTAAGTTGTTTTAGCTTTTTTATTTTTAGAGAGTAAGTCGACCATCTTATCATCCTCTTTAATCCATATTTCGAGTATTTCATTCGATTTTATTTACTGTAGCTTTCGTCTTCTTTCATTGGAAACATAAACCAAGTTCGGCCTAAGCTTCCTACAATTTCGTTGCCACTTCTCGCTCACCTCTGCTCCCTTTTTTTGTGTGAGTGGAAAAAGACCGTACCGGGGGAATCGTATCTGGTGTGAGTTGGACTCAAATTAGTTGGAGTAAATCAGAGCGCATTTCCCCTTTTGGGTGGTGTTGCCCCGGGATGCATCCATGGTACCGTGACTAGGTACCAACTAAAATCACTGTCTGCTTACGCGCGTGGCACATCTTTCCAGACCGGAGTAAATTCGAAACGTCCAATTAGATACACCTACTTTCTCTAATAAATTTTAAAACCCTTTTCTAAATTAATAGATTTCGTTGGGAAAAAAAAATTTGACCATGTCACTGGTACTTTCTTAGAAGAGCTGGCAATTTCCTGAAAAAAAGGACACACTTCTGGTGTGGCACGTCAAAGATTCTTCTACCTTCTTCTCGCGAGCTAGTTCGATTTTGATCTAAGTAATGAAATCTTGGTATAATTACTTCTATTTAGAAATATATAGATCAAATAATAGTATATCGATGGCTAAGATAAATGCATTTTTATCCTTAGTAATAGTTGAAATAGTTGTCAGAGTCAGTGAATTTTTAAGGTGCAGACAGACATTAACAAAAACTGTCAGTTACATCCTTAACCCTCGTTGACATGGGTAGTGAATCACGAGCAAGATGGAATCAATCGTGGTATACTAATCTTATTAGTATACCACGTATAGATACTTATATACTCAATAACTTCACGACTGTGCTTATGTCTCGTTCGTACCATCTGTTGAAAAAAGTTGTTTTTGTTTTAACCTACAGTAAGATACCATTACAAAAGTAATTTTATTCGGAGACCGATCTAAACATTGTATTTACCTGCTCAGTCAGGGCCAAACATTACACAAATCAATCTTATCTGTGGCCCCATTTCTTGAATTCAAAAAATCTTCATTAAATACTTTTTTGATTCATCTATCATAGCTTTGTCTAATGCTACGTTCTTGGAATTTTCGTCTGCATTATGCTATCTTTTCTCTTTTCAATATGTTTTGTGTTTTATGGCAATTCATTGATTTAGTGTAAAGGAAAGATACTAGGGTATTGCAAACACTCAAAGATCTGTTGTTTTTTTTTATAAAAACTTCGTTTTGTTAATACATATAAATAACGTAATAAAAAGGTTTAAAATTGATATTTACACAATTAAATTATAATCTTATATACATATCCAATTACAATCAATTCAAAATATACAATCGCATCATCCTCATAATTACCTAAATTAGATCTACAAAATAAGTTATCTATCAACACTTTGTACAAATTAGAAATTTATCAACAATCTCCCTCTTCCGTAGATATTGCCATGTCAGAGACTTTTTCAGTTGATATAGTGCTTGACTGTGCAGTAGTTTTCACAGCACTCGGATTCACTACATGGGCCAATACCTGCCGACTTTGAATTCCTATAAAATAAAAAAACATCTTAGTTTATAAGAATTAATCATGAGGGTTGAGTATGGCTATATAACGCTAAATTGTTTGTTAAATGGTTCAAAAAAGAAATAGAGACGATCTTTCTTGATATATTATAGAAACAAAAAAGTCTGGCTATTTCAATCAAATTTGGTAGTATTACACTGAATTAAAACAGATATCAATGTACGTCATAAATCTTATGACGCCAAGAGTAAATGAGCTATTGAATTTATTTGTCTGTCTGGGATTTTATTTCATTTATCTTACTGTCTATGAAGTTACTGGGTTTAAATTATCTGGTCTGACTGATCTGATATCATGACAAATACAACCAAATTGGAAACAGTTACTAATAATAAAATACGAAAGCAAAGATCCGGCAGGGTAGATGATCCACTTCTAGATCACAGGACAATCCAGATGTAACCCAGAGAAACCCCTATGAGAGAACTGGAAAAGTGTCTCTAAAAACTTCAGAGTTGATTATTAAAATATGTACCTGGAATGTGAAGACAATGTATCAGGCTGGAAAACTTCATAATACCATTCAAGAAATGACCAGACTTGCAGTAGGTATAATGGGCATAAGCAAAATGAGGTGGCCAAATAGTGATGCTTGTATTGTTGACAACCATATAATATACCACTCAGGACATGATGACGGTCAACATATGTATGGGTTGGAGTGATCGCATCTCCTCAATTACGTCAGTATGTTACAAATGTGATACCTCTCTCTGAAAGATTAATAATAACCCAACTGAATACTACTCTGGTCAAATTAAATGTTTTACAAGTATATGCCCCAACCAACGATAAACCAGAAGAAGAGGTAGAGCAATTCTATGAGTTGATAAATTCACTTAAACAAATTAAAAAAGAAGATATAACTATTATTGTGGGTAACTTGAATGCGAAAATTGGTAAAGGGAAAAGCGGTGAATTCATTGGTGATTTTAGTCTAGGGAAGAGAAATGAAAGGGGAGACAGATTAAACTATTTGTAGAGGAGGAAAAATTTGCAATACTACATACGTTCTTGAAAGTACCACCAAGACGTTTGTATACTTGGGCTCTCCGCAAGATCAACCTAATACGGAATCAAATTGAGTACATAATGGTGAACAAGAGATTCCGTAATGAATGCATATCAGTTATGGTTACCCTGGTGCTGACATACCGTCAAATCATGTTCTTGTTATTGGTAATTTAAGCTTTCGATTTAAAAAGGTTACAAAAAAAAATAGTAACAAAAAATTTGATGTGAGAAGACTAAAAAATAAGGAAACAAAATTTATAAATGTTCGGTCTTTCACAAAGGCATTCACCAGTGAATGTCGACAAACACCAATTTCGGACTTTCACAGTAAAATTCATGTTGTAGAAGTCAATAACATTGATTTTACCATTGAATTATAATAAAGCAAGAGAAATGATTATAAAAATACAAGATGACAAAATAGATGATTGGAAATGAGAACAATACTGAACTTACCTTTGCCTTGTCCTGCAGCTTGAGCAATTGGTATCACTTTGACGCCTTGCAAGGCCTTAATATTAATGGCAGTGCCTTGGAAACCTGCTGGCAGTAGAATTTGTTGCGCCACGATTTGGCCCCCTTGACCCTGACTAGCCAACACCAATCGTTGGGTATTAGTGGCATTGCTTGTGTGTAACCGCACCGGATGACCTCCGATCATGATGTGTCCTTGAGAAATGGACGGCGCACCGCTCACTTGCCCGCTTTTCGCAGACGTAAACATCACCTGTTGCGGCGTTTGTACTTTAACTTGTGGGCTACGGAAAAACAAGAAATGTTTTTATGAAGAGTATAATAATCAGGAATATATTATTTTTGTATTATTAACCCATCAACGCCTTGTGTGACCACTTGGTTACGCAAACACGTTGATTGTAGATCAACTTAACGCTAGAAGTCTATCCGCAGTTCAACTTTTCGTTACTAGATGTCAGTGTATTCAATTTGGTACTGTATTACATTCAACAATTTGGAAGGAGAGAATAAGTATAGCTTTGTGAATGTGCAAATTATGGAACCGAGATTTGAGTAAGTAGTTTCATTAGTTTACTATTAAGACTTTCCCGCAATTTAAATAATTATTGATATAGTTAAGGAAGTAGGTTATAATATAAAAAATATAACAAAAAATATTACGGACAACCTCATCCATTAACCAAAAAATTACATGAGACTAAATCACACTGTTAGCAAATGGTTACACTAGGCTAATAAGTGATTTAATTAATTTTTTATTTACAGGAGAGGTTTGACACTCCAGGAAGTCCTGGATATGGTTTATAACATGGACATATAAATAAAGAATACTTTTATTTGTGTAGAATTTCAAAAATTGAAGGGCGTCAGAAAACTGAGTGTAGTAACTGTAGATGGCAATTGATTAAATCTCCCGTCGCAAGGCGACCGGCAAACCACTAGTTTTCTTATAAATACATTTCTTAACTTTTTAACTAAATAAAGATACGTACCTAAAAACTATATTTGGTTGATTGATAATATTAATATTATTTGATGCAGACTGTTGTACCATGCTATTTCCGGAAGTTTTAACGGCGTTCTGTAGAACCAAAGATGGCGCTGATGTATTCGACTGCGTCTGCAGAATAACGTTTTGTCCCTGTATATTCTGTATAGTCCCTCCTTTGCTACTAGCTAAAAGAATCGGTTTTCCTGCCAAATGTCCCAAATTGAGATTAGCTGCATTCACCATCCTTATGGTGTTGGTATTTCCCGCAACGTTAAGGGTGAGAGATTTTGAGTGAGGAGAGTTTTTACCCGTTGAAATCTTTATTTGATTCTGTTGATTAACAACGAGTTTAGATTTTTGTCCATCGAGCGCTTGTATTAATTTGGTGTTGATTAATTGTTGATTTCCCTTTGCGTTTAATTTTGTTAAGGTTTGGGCCTTATTTGCCGACCTAGAAGCTGACTTTGACGATGTTGTTGACGATGTGACTGTTGTTGTTTGAGAAGCCACCACGAATTTCGGCTGAGTTGTTAATGTGAGAATGTTGTTTTGAGATCCAACGGTTAGCTGAGTAAGTGCGTTCGCTTTCGAGGTTCCTGTGAGATGTATGAGGTTTTGTTGACCCGTTTTTGATCCAGAAACTCGCAAAGTTGCGCCTGCAAATAAAATAGATATCAGTTATAAAATGTCACTTTATAGTAGCAAGTATGTATTTGTTTTGGCGAAAAACCAGATTCGCGATGGTTTGAGATGAACAGAAAGTTCTTTTATCTTGTAAAAGGTTGTCCCAATTCACAATTTCCAAGCATTGACCCATAGCTATAAAGTTTGCATTGTGGAAATCATAGTAGGTTTGCTTTCCAGATGTCATCTCATTACCAACTTTGAAATATATAATTGTTTCAAGCGGGGGATAGTGAGTATCTTATGAGATTAAAATATCTACGGCCTTGTAAACAGATAATTCCTCATGAGATAGAATAAGGTCTAAAGTGACTTATCTATTATTGAAAATGGTATTGCACTGATAAAGATTGCGAAAGGCAGATATATTAGAAAAAATTTCAATGGTTTCTACTTCAGCTACAGAGGTAGAGGGATATGAGTGTGCAAATGAACAAAAATTTTCTAGTACCCATACAGCATAATGAAGATTATTATCTCAGAAGAGATGAAGCTTTGAATTAGAATATTGCTCACTTAAACTAAGCAGAACATCAGAGTGCGCTTGATATTGATTAATTCTGGATCTAGGTGGAATATACAGGGTGAGTCATGAGGAACTCTACATACTTCTACCATATGTAGAGTCCCTCAGGGAGCATATCATGTGGACACTAAAAAATGTCAACTCCTCTTCTTTATTAATTAACAGGGTGATTTGTGTAATTGACCATTTATTTCATTTTACTGTAGTGTTTGTACGGCTTATTTGATTTTTTAAATTTTTGCATGATACAGAAGCATTCGACTGGTATTAGCTAAACTAAAAAAATTCCAGGACTGGCTTTGGAAAAATTAATTTAGGGATTCGTATTAAATATTACACCCTGTATATATATATATATATATATATATATATTATATATATATATATTTTAAATGCAATAAGTGATTTTCAAACTACATAAATAGCCAATGAAAACGACATATGCGACAATGTTGTCGCACTTTTATTAAATTTTTAGTGAACGATCAAATCTTACCAAAAATAGAACAACCATAATGAAGTATCAAATTATAAGGTATTAATTTAAACAAATGTTATAAATTTCAAATATTTTAATTAAAATGAGTTTCTTTCTCTATTTTTCTATGCTTCTGATGCTAACTAATAAGATGAGTTCTCAATAAAGACGAAAAATGAAATGTCATAATGTAAAGGAAGACAGACTTTTACAGGGAAAAACAGACAGGTATACTTTCTGGCGCATAATATACCGCTATAAAACAAATTATAGAAATTTGGTGGTTTGTTAATAAAATATTCGAATTCACTAATGTACCAAATACATTGTAGATGATTTTTATGTGAGAAACTTTAAATTTATAATAAGATTACCTTGTGCCAAAATGCTGGTTGGTTTTTGTTGAGGAAGTAGACCTTCCACTGATATCACATGTCCTGCTGCATTTGTTAACACTTTGGCAACAACTGGGCCCTGAGATGAACTGGATTGTTTTGATAAATCTAAAAGAATGTGTTAAACGCTTGAATTGATACTTTTAGAATGAATGCTGAATAAATGTATAACTTGCATTTAATTGAGTTTCATTGATACTGTATAAGCCGTAAAAATAAAACAAAATTAAAGTGCTACTTACCAGTATTAAGTTTCTGCTGTCCTACAACTTGAGTAGTAACAGGTACTATTCCCGATTTCTGTACATTGATCAGTCCGCTTTTTTGTTTCAATATAATTTGTTGTGGATTCGCCAGAAGACTAGCATTCGGTAATATCTTCTGTTTGATTGTTTGTAGAATTTGTTGTTGTTGAGCTTGACTAAGATTACCTTGCGTTTTGATCTGCAATCCTGATTGGCCAATTAGTTGATCAGATTTCGGGACTGCTACTGTCATGATATTAGCTTGGTCAATTGGTGATTCCCCTGAGGCTGTAGTTAGTGGGCTTAGACCTACATTTCCAGTAGGCGAAGCTCTTAACAAAGTAACGTTTTTAATATTTTGTAAATGTAATATTTGCTGTTGCATGTTTGCCGGTACTTTAATTTTTTCCTGTTGACTGTCTGAGCCATCAGAGGGATTTTGTTTCTGTACCAAAATTTGCTTCTGTTGTGCAGTAAGCGTTTGTAGAAGTTGTTGAGTGACCACTTGACCTAATTGTTTGGTAGGGGTAGTACGGTGTTCTTGAATCTGCTTGATTAGTTGCGCATTTGATGTTGGTATTATCAAAGACTTGCCTTGGGACGGAGACAGGATTTTGACAAGTCCTTTACCTAATAACGAATACAAAACATTAATATAACATAACATTTATAAGTGAGAGTAAAGAACATCGAAATAAATATGAAATTAAAGAGTTTGTACCGTTATAAACGTCACATATTTGTTAGTTTTCTTCAAATAATAATTTTATTCAAATTTCTGTTTTTGTTTTACTATTTTTCTTCTCAAAATACTTGGCGATCAACTTATTTATCAACTAAATATTTTGTTTAATCATTATTCTTCAATTTAAATTTTCATTTTATTTCAGTTCTATACCCATATACTCTCGGTATACCCCCGTATTCAACCCTGTATGCTAGTTTGACTAGCGACAAAGTTTATTTATAAGGAAGTAGTTCGGATTTACGAATTCTGTCTGTCAATAATTACTTCAAAATATCAGAAGTAAGGATATACCTTTTGTCTATTTGAAGTGGACGTTTAGTTAATAAACCCATTTTATTTGTTAAAACCTTTCCTAGGGTAAGTACTCATTAATATTCTTGCTTCTAAATTCGTAGGTAGTCGATAATTTTTTATAATTTTCTTATAAACTTTTTAAATTGTTTTTATGATCATGCCTAATCTCTATAAGCTACGTTTACTCTAAATGAAATAAATTTATTAAAGGTAAAGATAAACTTTATTAAAGGTATATGTTTTTTATATCTGTTTAACTTAAAGCAAGGCAATATTTAACTTATGCTATTAGGCGAGCGGTTTACCCCTCAAAAGACGCTTAGAAACAGAATATACCTACTATTTTTTTTTTGCATTTCTAATGCACCAAACCATTTTTATTCGATTCTATATATTTTTCCAAGATGAAATGTATTTTTTTTTTAATTTTTACAAGTGGGCCGGCAATTGTTATTAACAAATAACATACACAAAAGCAATTTCACCTAATTGCTTCGGAATCAATTTTTTTAGGTGTATCTCATCAAAATAAACACTTTTTCTCTCTTGATAATTTTTCGAAAAATGCTTCCTTTTCGAGTTATTTGCATTTTTTTTTGTTGAAAAAATGCCTTATTGAGTGATTTTTGGGATTTTTTTTCTAAAAAACTACTAAATGAATTGCAATTCTACAAATAGCTTTATAATCTTTAAACCGTCGAGTACAAGTTAGAATATTTTGACAAGGATAATTTTTTTCTATCTTGCTAAAAACGTGGACCCAAGTATTTCGAATATGCCTTTCGAGCAGTCTACCGCTAAGTGTGTACAGCGGTTGCGGCGATACAGGCGTGCGGCGCGTAGAAATATTTGTTTAGATTTAAAAAATTAATTTAATACAAATATTACGTACAATTTATTAAAAAAAAAAGATATTTATAATTATTTTTATATAGACGTATTATAATTGAAACAATTAAAATTAATTTTTTACAATGCTATAATAATGTAATTTTTCTTTTAATATACGTGGTGACTCTATTATTGAATGTTTTATTACAGTGAAATACATTAAGCAATATATAATCAATTTTCATTGAAAAATATAATAAAATAAAAATATAATATTATTTATACATCGTTTTCATTGTAAATAATTTGAAAATTTTCGTCAACAGCAACAGGATTTCCATCTAATAAGCTGATTTCATTGTCTTCAATAAAGTCGTCTTTAACATTTTTACAATTCTCTGGTGTACATGTACATACTGCGCAGCATTCTAAATTATAGGAAATACAATTACAATTTTTCGTAGAACATTTTCCGGTACATGAGTACCGGAAAATAATTTTCGGTTTCACGGTATTCAAAATAATTAAAATCGAAACAATTATTTTCCATTGTCCTACCATGGGTTAATGGATCAAGAGATGAAATAATATTGTTTTTTGCTTGAATCCATTCATTTATTTGCCACTTTGCTCTTAAGTAATGTTGTAATAATGCTGGTTTCGAAGGTGGTAATTTTTCATTAGATGCATTCTTTTTAATGCAATATTATATCTTAAGTCATTTATGGATTCATGATATTTTTTAAACTTATTTTGAGGGTCATACAGTTTAGATAAAAATAGAGTCAAAACTGTAAATCCTTCATCTAAAGGTAAAGTAGGCAAATTTCTTAATTTTTCCAATTGACTATCAGTTAATTTCTGCAAAGCTTTATAAGCCTTCTTTTTTCCCAAATTATAAAATGAACTTGTGGTATCACAACCTGTTATAGAATGCATTATTAGGATACTGTTGCACATTTTTCCAATTTCTTTTGCAATTTGATGTACAGGTATATATCGAGAACGATCCACATTTTTTACAATATTTCCTGTGTGAAACTATAAAAGTGGTTTTTAAAATCTTTTATAAAATCATGATAATGAGATAAAAGTAAAATAAATATATCTGTGTCTGGTGATTTAACAATAATTTGAATTTTTATCCAAATGCTGCTGTTGTAATTTAAAAGCGTGAAAAATAACCCTAGTATCTGCTTCTAAGTGATTACATTCTAAATTTGAATCATAATTGATATCATAATTAATTATCAGATATTTTTCATATATATATTACATTATTAAAAAAGTCGAAAAGATTCGAGCACCTACAGCACCTCAACCGTTGTACACGCTTAGCGGGATACTCTCGAAATGCATATTCGAAATATTTGGGTCCACGTTTTTAGCGAGATAGAAACCATTTATCCTTGTTAAAATATTCCAACTTATACTCGACGGTTTAAAGATTATAAAGCTATTTGTAAAATTGGAATTTATTTAGTAGTTTTTTAGAAAAAAAATCCCAAAAATCATTAATTAAGGCATTTTTTCAACAAAAAATATATGTATGTATGTATAAGTTATTTGTTAATAAAAATTGCCGGCCCACTTGTAAAAATAAAAAAAAATAAATTTCATCTTGGAAAAATATATAGAATCGAATAAAAAAGGTTTGGTGCATTAGAAATGCAAAAGAATTTTAGTAGGTTGATGCTCTGCTTATAGGGGTAAACCGCGCGCCTATATTAACTAACGCACTATTTCGTTTTATAGTTTTTTTCTTGGGTTTTTATACTTAACTGGACTTTTATTGTTCCTAAGGGACATTTTGACATTAACATCATGTGCACACATTAAAGGAATGTAGCGAGCATACATTCAGTATCTTACTTCCTTTAGAGGACTACAGAAGAGTCACAGTTAATTCAATTTTTCATGGAAGAGCATATCCAGCCAGAAGAAACAGTATAATTCATTTTATTGTAAAGCTTAGGCAAGATTTGCTTTATTTTAAAGACGTAAGATCTTTAAGGTAAGACGTACCTACGTCTGAGACAGAGCTACTTGAAGCCCCAACAATAAAAGTGGCATCTCAAGTGTATTTTTATAGTTACAAGACTGAGTTATCATAGCTTCACATTTATACATCCGTTGCTATATTGTTACACATTGGCGCCCAACGTGGTAGGATATGCAGAGATAATGCTGACTTAATATTTGGTCCAATTAATTTGCGCCAGATATTAATTTTTCTTTTTGCTTATTTTATAATTAATATAAATATAAAACAATAATAATTATAAAATAACTGTAAACTTACCAGTTTTCAATGTGGGGCTAGATACCCTATTGTGAATAATGGCCTGGTATGATTTATTCACATCTTTTTCGTCTTTTGGTTTTAAAGTGACGCTTGAAGCAGCAGCAAGAGGTGGAGGTTCATCTGATATCACAGGTTTGGTCTGAAGAACAGTTTCCTGTACTTGTACTTGCGGTTTTGGAAGATTATTACTTAATAACAAACTTGTTCCTAGAAAAAAGGAGAATGTTAGAGAACTTATAATACGTTTTGAAATTATGTCATATTTAATATATATTACAATAGTCAAAGGATTAAAGCCAGGAGACGGGCTGGCACCGACACTATTGAACCTGACCTTGGAATATGTGATAAGACAGTTGAATATAGGAAGAGGTAATCTCCTAACAAATAAATCAATACAGCCGTTGAGATTTAGTCGTTGAGATTATTTATATAAAGCTATGACACAACATTAATAACACACATATAAAATATAACATAAAAAATAATGGACAAAATACATTTTAAAATTTAGTTAAAGACAGTAAAACTTCGTTTGACATCTTTTAATGGTGTGTTTTAACTGATCCATAGAGAACAGAAAGAATAAAAAAAAACAAAAATAGTATGATCAAAGTAATTAGGTGTTCTTCATGTATTATTAATGTAAGTAATGTATTAAACCTAAGTATGAATAATTTTTTTCTTAAACGGACTTATGACAAGACAACTATCAAACAATAAATAAAGTAAAGCTATCTTTATTATGGCAATCTTGATTGCTGCCTAAAACAAAATAAAGGAACATGCAAAGAAAACGAAAAGTTTTATTCAATAATTCATAACTTTAAAGCAAATCAAGACATCAAAGTTAATGAAAAAAAAAAGTGTAGGGAATGCACAAAGATTGTATATAGAGTAGTTTTGAGCGACATTCAAAAGCTGTGTTTCACCCTACGGTATAGTAAACGGTGAACAAAATCTGGCCTTATTCGGAAATCTCATTAATGTGTGTGCATTAATCTCGAATGATATTATGACATACATAAAAAAATGTTAATATCAGAAATTGGTAACATTTTAAACGGTCGTTTTCTCTGCCTATGAGTTTTTTTATATGTTGAACCATCTATACATCTACTTCACATACCACGTAATGTTTTTTATGTCAAAACTTACCTTTCTGTGGCGCTGACACAGTTATCAAACTTGGCAGTGGATGGTTTTGAACTTGGGTAGTAGGAGTTGCTATTTTCTGAGGAGATACTTGCGTAACACTAGCTCTCCGAACTGGTTTGGGCGGCGGTTGTAAGGGAGCTGGTGCAGCTGTAGAACTGGGCTCAGTTTTCAAGGTTTTGGTCGGTTTTTCCGGACTTTGCTTCGCTTTCGTCTTCGTTGATGGTTTCTTTTGTACTTTTTTACTAGATTTGTTAATTCCTAGAAATAATAATAAAGGTATTTTATCCCACTACTCGGACATACACTTACAACTTATTGATAATTCTTACCTTGATACTGTTGGTGAATCCTTTCAAAATCTTCTTCAGTTCTATTCCTGTGCAAGTATATCCAAATTTTCTTCTTCGGATCATATTTAACACAAGGATCCCATTGGGTGTGCATCCTATCCAAAGCCCCTGATACTACTGACTGCAAAACATTGTCAGGAGCCGTACTAGATATGTATTGCGACGACTTCAGAAGTTCACAAATTTCAGCCCTCGTACCTTCACCGTTCGGTAATCGTGCAGCGGCGTCTCTTACCAATGATAAAATAGTAACGAAATTCGGTCTATCGGCAGAGAGCATGGTATGTTCTCGGGCTTTGCTGTTCCCAACAGCTGGGTTGTAAATGCCTTTGATAGGACCCACCACAGATTCGTAGTTGTGGCAACGGTAAGTAAATGCCTTGTGTGGATTGTCATACCTAGTAATAAATATAGAATAATGTAAAACAAATACATAAACACTAACCATATAAGTAAATGTAAATGGATTTTAAATGTTAAATTTACACTTCGCACTTTGTAGCAAAAACTTATATGGTGTTAGGAGCAACTCTAACAAATAGTAATGACGTCTATATATATATATATATATATATATATATATATATATATATATATATATATTATATATATATATATATATATATTATATATATATATATATATATATATATATATAAGGGCCCGCGTAGCGCAAGCGGTAGTGTGCTTGCCTCGCATGCCGGTGGTCGTGAGTTCGAATCCTACCGCCGGCAAGAACAACTAGGCATTTTTAAAAATGTCTATAGGCCCCAGGTCGACTCAGCCTGAATAAAATGAGTACCTTGGGTAAAACCAGGGGTAATAATAGGCGGTTGAAGCGTAGCACTGGCCATGTTACCTTCCTTGTATACCGTAGGCCCTAGATATAGCAGACTACCCTGCTATACTCCCAAAGCCGCGTGCGGTATAAAACGGGAGACTATTATTATATATATATATATATATATATATATATATATATTATATATATATATATTATATATATATATATATATATACGCGGCTTATCAAAAAAATTCGAATGGTGAATATTTTTCTACATAAAATTCATATTTTTTGACAAACTGCGTATGTGACTAAAAAATCTAATAGGTATCTAATACTTGTATTCTAGACTTTAGATCATTCAGAACTTTTTATAAAGAATAACTTTTTTCATTAAGGCTGTTTTCGCAGTTTATAGCATACTGCGATTTGAAGTGGGCGTATCACTTACTTTTCTAATATGTACTTGCTTATGTCAGACCGTACGTGCCGTACCGAATTTAAAAGTTTGGATGTTTATTCAGTGGCGCCGGCCGACGGGTTGTTTAATGATAATAAATGCATTATTCTCCATTCAAATTAGTTTTGTCGGAATACTTTTTTTTTTATTAATTATCGTCGATAATGTTTTAAAAAGAATTAATCACATTTTTAATTTATATGTCTTAGCTAAACATAGTATTAAATAAAAATTTGTGAAACGTGACTGCAAAAAACACCATGGTGTTTATTTATAATAAATTTAAAAGAACATACGAATATTATTATCAAAAAAATTACAATTTGTTGTCACAAACAAATAAACAATTTCGCAGTTATAGCTTGAAAATTATTTCAATAAATTATTTATTTGTTAGAGAAAACTGATATTAGCGTAGTAAAAATTAAACAAAAAATATTTTTATTTATCTATAAAAAATTGGTACCTGCGAAACCATCATAATAGTAAATGTATTTATTTGGCAAGTATTTCGAGGCGACGCACTGCGAGGAAAAAGTTCTCTGAATGGAATATACATTATTTTAATATATTTATAGGTTGCAGTTACATAAGAAAAGTATCCAATTGATGAATAAAATACAAATCGTGGATAGTTATTTCATCATCATCAGTGGCATTACAGCTCGTCATGAGCCAAAGGCTTCTTCAGAACAATCTTCCATTCGCCCCTGCCTCTGGCAACTTTCTCCATGCTTTAACTCCGATGGATTTTAGATCATCCTCTATGTTATCTTGATACCTAAGTTTTGGTCTTCCTCTGGATCGTTTTCCCACTGGTCCTCTTCGGTCGAAAATTTTTCTGATCGTTTCATCTTCATCTCGCCTAATTACATGTCCTATCCATCAAAGGCGTACTAATTTAATAAATTTTACAACGTCAGGTACTACACCTGAAGAAGCATCATAGTTTACTTTATACGATCTTTTTGACCAAGCACCATCAGCTATAACGGTTATTAACCCATTTCCGTCGGAATCTACTTCACCAATTTCTTTGGCTAAAGCTAATTCCTCCCGTCCAGCCTCTTCTAAGGAATCACAAAGTGTTTGGCTGATGATATCTGCAACTATTTCCGTATGTTTTGCATACTGTTTGTAGGACATCACAGGTATATTTAATGCAGCGTGCTGCTGCTGTATGTCTGAATAACCAGAACCATTCAAGTTCAGTGAATTGTTACCAGAATCCTATGTTGCTATCTCCTTTTCAATATTCCTCATTTAACATTTAAAAGTCAATGTACTTATCAATCCGTCCATTTTTTCTTTGATAATCTCCATATTAGAAAAGTTGCATGAAAATGGAGAATGATTATTCAAACCTTGAATAGATTTAATGAAAAAGTTTATGTCCACTATTCTTCTGTCTTCTACCGAAAAAGATGGTTTTTGCGGAGAGGCAATCTCAACTGACTGAGAATGACAGCTATTACTAGAAATAACGATAAAACTTAAAGTATTTTCTGCAAATGATATTATTTGTTATTATTATTATTTAAGAGTAAAACATTGGTAATATTTTGACCATAAACAAATAATATGTAAGGTCATGAACCCTCTATTTACTTACTTTACGGTAAGTAAATAAAAAAAAAGTAAAAAGGGTTACTTACGAATCGACACTACAACTAGGTAAAGTAGATGTTTCTGCTAATTCTTGATGGATTGAACCATGATACTATGAATAACAAGATAGGCTCTTCCCGTATCACAAAATCGGTCGTGTTCGCGCATGCTGTCATTGGAGAGTAGAATTTGAATTCTTGTTAAAGTTAAATGGGATTTGTATGCATTCTGTAATGAAATTACTAGACGAAAATAAGTTAAGAGGTTCAATAATTACAATAATTGTACACATAAGGATATCTCCAAACTATTTATTAAAGATTATTTGTTGACACATACAAAAAACTGACATTTCGAATGTCAGATATATATATATATATATATATATATATATATTATATATATATATATATATATATGTATATATATGTATATATATTATATATATATATATATATATATATATATATATTATATATATATATATATATTATATATATATATATATATATATATAAAGTTAAATAAAAGCTTTTAAAAACGGTTGTAATATAAATAATAAATACTTACTGCAGTGCAATTGCTCTCGTTTTCCTTGACATAGGACGTTTACTGGGACTCATTTTTTATCTTGTCTCTTATAACTTATATCACTAACCTAATGTAATACTTAAAAATACGCGTAAACTAAAGAACTTTTAACTTATACCACTAAACTAATAATATATTACTTAACATACGCGTAAACTAAATAATTTCAATGTTTTCAAAATAAATAAGAATACTGTAAACTGTAAAAACTAAGCAAGTTGATAAAGAAAATACAAGAATGAAAGAACTAAAATGGATTAATTCAAGCGAACTAACTGACCGTACCCATAGAAAATAAAAATAAGACCGTACCGTACGTTCATGAGATATGACGTCACTATCGATCAAGCTCAGCGACAATGATGAGGAACACGTTTCACTATTAGATTTCAGTATTTTTTAGCAATTTTCTTCAAAGTTTGAATACGCTTTTCTCGATTATTACTGGACACAGAAAGGTGAAAAAAGAATCAACGATTACAGAAAAAAAAACTCTTTCAACTGATGGGCGTGAAAAGTTTGGTTATAATAGAACGTTAAACAGTATAATCCAATTTTTCAACGGAAAATTCAAAAAAATAAAAAAAGTAAAACCATCAGTTTAAAGGCAACATAATTTCGTATAACATGTCCAAATTTCGAGACATTTCGTCGGTAAATAACAGAGAAAAAATTTTGGTGCACCGATAAAACAGCCTTAAATTAAAAATACAAGAGTTTCCCATGTCATTTAATTAAGTCTGCATTTTGTACTTTTTCTCGGGATTGCCCTGTCATTTTGATTGATGTTTAATATTATTTTTATTCAAAATGAACATTTTGAATAAAAATAATCTATTTTTCAAATTATTATTAATTGTTTTTTTAAACTCACTCAAGTTATCATAGTCGTATACATTCAATGTTCGGGATAGTATACACTACCATTTCAAATTTTCGCGGCATCTGCCATCTCTCGCCACCTGTTGAGTTTGTCTGTTTTCCTTCTGCGCCGGTACTCTCTGACATTCTTCTGACTAATACAAATACAACCTGTCGAAAGCTCTAATGGCGGCTGGCAATTAACAGACATGCCTTAAATCTTCAAATTTTACCGGTGTGCACTTAAGTGTAATCAATCAAGTATTTATTAATTGTTTATTTAATGATTTTTTAATAATTTCAGTACTTAAACGTGTTGTGTTTTAACTACATTGGTTTTTAAGTTAACATTTTAAAATAGATACGTGCTTAGTTTGTCAGTGTCATCATTTGTGTTTTAAAACTTCAAATAATTACCAGGCAGCTTTGTTCAAGTGTCATTTTAACATTTAAGGCTATTTTTATACAACTATACTTGTTGAAATATGTTATACATGGATTAAGTAAGTTACTGTAATCTTTTAACATATTCAAAAGACAAAAAAACTAACACAGACAATAGCTAGGGGAAACAGACGCACAGTTGAATTAGAGGACGACATTGAAACTGTAGAAAGTTTCACATATCTGAGAGTTACATTAAACGTGGATGAAACAGAAGAACCAGTAATTCAAAGAAGAATAGTAAAGGGAGCCAAAGCTTATTTTTCACTCGCCCATGTGTCCCGCTCCAAAAAGACCAAAAACACACTGAAGATCGCAAATCAGAGTCTACAAAACTATTATCAGACGAATATGGTGATGCGAGACATGAGTGATGCCAGAAGACACAATACGAAAGCTGGAAGTCTTTGAAAGAAAAGTCCTAAGAAAGATATTTGGACCTATTAATGAAAACGAAGTATGGAGATCAAGGTACAACCATGAACTTTACCGACTGTTCAAAGAGGTACTGATCTCGGAATTCGTAAAACTTCAGACTTCGATAGGGTGGTAAATTAGTTAGAATGGAGACTGGACGATTGTTAAAAAAAGCCCAAGATAGTAAAAGACAGGTTGCACGACCAAAAGGAAGGCCACGGAAAGGGTTGAAAGGATCAAGTGGCAGCGGATGCGCAAAATTTGCTAGACGTGAGAACCTGGAGACGATCGGCGCGGAACCGGCAAGGTTGGAGGAGATCAAGGCTCGATTTGAGCAGTAGCTTCATTGGAGGGATGTGAATTTCTGATTTTATGACCAATTCTTTTTAAAACTGCGTAGCAGTATTTACCATCGATATTGTACTACTTCACATGTAAGTACCTTTTATACATTATTATCTCTTTTTCACTCAATATGAGAGGTCATTTTTTTTGGATTTCTCTTTTAATTCAAAGAACCTTACAATTCCTTCTAAAAGAGTGTTACTCTTACAGATAAGAACTGATCATGTTTTGTAAATATAAAACGAAACGTTTCCGCTAATATATGGAATAGTTAATATATAGCTTGTTTCCTTTCTTCTCTTATGTGACTGAGACATTTAAGAGATATATAGTGTCTTTAAGATAACTATCCACCTTAAATTACTTTTGAACTTCTAATTTTTCGGATAAGCGCAAAAACACGTCAGTTAACCCTCTCTGCTCCATAGAATCCACATATTTTTAGGTATGGCGAACTTTACTACGAAATATACATACGGATATTCATATAGAGGATATTAATACACTCTGTAAAAGTGGTATAGGGCTCTGTAGATTAATTTGGATCGCAGTAGGACATGGATATCCATACGACGATATCATGGTTAGCCCTTTAAAAAAAATTCCCAGAATAATGTAAACAGCTCAAGGTCTACATTCAGTCTGGTGGTAACCCCACGCAGCGGCAAGATATATATTTAGTACACGTTTAGGGTTTACTGAGACAGCATGTGTTCTTTTTCTTGCCTATTAGGTGCGTAATTGTGTTTTATATTAGTAAAAATGGATTCGGATCTCGAGAGTGAAAGTGGTTTGAGTTATAAAATGTCTAATAGTGACTCCGAGAGCGATTCAGACAGCAATTATTTATCAACGGATGAGGAAGAAGTTATTGATGGGGTACAAATAGGCGGCTGGACAGCCGTTACAGATCCGTTTGATGATAAGCTTCCAAGAGATATACCCGAATTTCGCTTTGACTATAACTTTCACCCAGCTATTGACTTTCAAGATTGTATGGAAACTGTAAACTGTTTTGAGTCATTTGTAAGTAGCAGTATTTTTAAAAAACTATGCGAATGGACCGATCAAATACCTGATAAATATTTTAATGATAATCCACACACCGCCATGAAAGTTTTTGGTCTGACTTATAAACCAGTGACAACAGAAGAAATGTATGTATTTATAGCAATATATTTTCTCAGTGGATTGACAAAGTGTCCGCAAATTTCAGATTATTGGAGTACAGAATAATATACAGTGCGTTAAGTTTTGGATTAGGTATACACTCTATAAATGGCAACACTGCGCGTCGTCGACTTGCCACTACATATCTGCTTCAATGACTCGTCGTTGCTCGTCGCCCGTCGGCAAATTTGTCATATTGTCATTATACCGTGGTTGTTTTAAAGGTGTAACAGCGTAGAGTTTTTAATTTATTTTTGTAAACATGTCTGTTTATATGGCTGCGGAAAAAGCTCAAATAATAAAATGGTTTTATAGTGGCAATTCTGCGCAACAGTGTGTAGATTTATTTTCTGTTTTTTGAGGGAAGACCAATTCCTTATGTACAGTCAATTTATAATATTGTTAAAAATTTTGAGAGTTGTTATTGCCTCAAAAATTGTAGAAAATGTCACGCTCAAGAAGTGTTACCAGAAAGAGTTGAGGAAAGAGAATACCGGATACACAAATTTGTGCAACAATCGAGGTAGATTAACACGTTCAAGTAGAAGCGTTGCTAGAGAGTTAGATGTTAGCAATGTTACTGTAACGAAAGTATGGAAAAAAGCACGGTTACAAGAATTTTTAAATATTCGAAAACGCAGCAGCTTCATCCATACGATTACTTTCGAAGAATGGAGTTTTGTGAAACTCTAATAACGAAGGCTAATAGTGAACCAAATTTTATTAAAAACATTTTATTCACTGATGAATCTTCTGTTTCGTTAGTAGGGAGAACAAAATCCTTCCATTACGAGGTATTGGGCGCGGGAAAACCAGCACAGAAGTGTTGTTTACCGAAACTCAACGTCCTCAAAAAGTTAACGTCTGGACTGGAATTTTAGGAGACCACATAATAGGTCCATTTTTTATTGAGGGCAACTTGAATAGTAGAGTATACCTCGATTTGTTACAGAATCATGTTCTTCCCGCTATTCTCAATCTTCCTGATGTAAATCTGGAGAATGTTTGGTTTCAACAAGACGGCTGTTCAGTTCACAACGCTCGAATTATTAGGGAGTATTTAAACAATACTTTCCCGAATCGAGTTATCAGTGGAACAGGCGATATTAAGTGGCCTGCGCGATCTCCAGATCTTACACCCATGGACTTCTTTTTTTGAGGACATTTAAAAAGCATTATCTACGATCATCCTGAGGCTAGAGCCCAAAATCGAATAAGAGAAGTCTCCAATTCTGTTACAGCAGAAACTCTTTCATCTGTTCGCAGAAGTTTTTATGACAGATTGGGGTACTGTTCAGCCGTAGAAGGTCAACTATATGAACCATTTCTGTAGGTCATAAAGAATTATTTTTTATTTTATTAGAAATAATATTTTAATTTTCAATAAGAGATATTTGTTATTTTATCTTTTTAAAGAAATACGCTCTTATTTTTAATTCAACCACAAAAAATTTTCACATTAATAAAAATCGATAACAATGCACCGATTAGGTCAGTGCATTTTTATCGAATTTCCTACTATTAAAATCGGCTATACGTAATGAAACATGAGATCGGACGACAGAGAAGTACATCCCAAACGTTGTTGTGAGTTACTAAACTAAAATGATTTTCTGTCGGTGCAGATAGTCTCGGGTCGGAGAACGAACATTTGCAACGTTGCCGATTTTAGCGCTCCGTATAGTGTGCAATACCTTAAATCAAAAATTTAACGCACTGTATGCACTGGTCCTCCAGTTTTTCATAAATCTGTTGAGCCGAAATCGCTTTTTGGCAATTCTTAAATTCCTTAGATTTTCACCACCAGGTCAAAAGTAATGTACCGCTTAGCAGACTAGGCATTTTTATGGCTCTTATTAGAGATAATTGTCAAAACTTAGTGGACCAAGACCAGTTTTCGCAATAGATGAGCAACTTATGTTTGTATAAAGGTCGACTCCATTTTCGACAGTACAAAAAAGCAAAACTGTTCTCTATTATAAAAAATGCAAGAAAGAATCGACATTGTAAGTTTATAATACAAAAATAATAATTGTGCAAGATCAGCTGCTCGAATTTTTAATGAAACACATCACAATATACTTTCAACTCATAAGTATGATTACATCCATACAAAATTAAATTGGTACAAGAGTTAAATGAAGAAGATTTCGATCGTCGTCTCGAATATTGCGAATTAATGTCACAATGCATCATTAACAATCCACGACTGTTAAACAATATTTGCTTTTCGGATGAATGCACATGTTCATTAGATGGTTCGGTGAATAGACATAATTGCCGATACTGGGCTGAGAATGATCCACATATTGTGCGTGAATTTCACACAAAGTTGTAATTCAAAAACTGCAAGCCATAGGCCTATAAGGCTTATTGAGCCTTAAGAATATATAAAATAACGATAAATATATTAAACGGTCTATGTATTACTACGTTAGATTAGAATTTATAAAAAAATATTGAAGAAATAGAAAGTTCGGTCTTACCTCCGCCTTTCTTGTTCTCTGAAATCCCTAATTTCTTCAGGAGTGGCTTTCCGTACACTCCAGCTAGTAGGAAACCTTGGTGGTGGTGGACTACTAGACCTGTCGGTGATGTCAACGTCTAATTCTTCCTTTATGGGAGATATCTCTTTAGATTCTGATTTATGTTCTAGCCAGAAGTTGCACAATGTACTAAGTAATTGATCCGAATCTCTACCAGCTCCTATCCATTGATACACATCCAGATTTGCTTTGTACTCCATATAAGGTACGAAATCATCAGGTTGTTCGGAGGCATTACCGCATAAAAATGTAATAGCAGAAGGTAATATTCCTATCCAGTTGTCTGTATAGCTGTACCAGTCGTTAAGAGGGCTTATAGGATTTTCCTGCCAAGCTTTTAGCCTTTCTTGCAGTGTATACATATTCATTCTGTGATCACATGTTGAGCATATCACGTCCCTTATCAAGGAAAAGAAGTTTGCGTGTGTGTCTTGCATCAGTTCTGGTTTGTTACTTAACTCTAATATGTCAATATCGGAGTTATCTAAATCGATAGGGATGTTCATTACATCGATACCGTCTAGATCTTCCACACATGCTGGGGTAATTTTACCATATTGAGTAATACTGTTAACAGGCTGCTGAAACACATTTGAACTAGACGTAGTTGGTACATTAGTGAAGGTTGAAGTTGCTGGTACTGTAGGACTATAGGATTCCTTGTTTATTTCGACTTTAAGTTTAGGTGTAGGTGTTCTTCTAGATGCACTCAATTTACTTTTACTTCTTGGTTTCGACGAGGAACTGGACATAGCGTCTATCAACGAATCCGAGTCAGAATCTGAATTTGAACTATGGTCGTAGTGTGTTTTAATCTTATTACTATTACTAAACATATGCTCTGAGGATTTTCGGAACTCTCTTTTGATTTTCTTTTTACTAATTAGTTTATTTTCTACTTGGTGTTTTGTAATCACTGTCATATTTTTATTGTAAGGCAGTTGCGTTCTATTTATAACATCTGTGAGTGTAATTCCTTTTGTATTTAATTCTGGATCATTCGCTTGTTCCAACTTCCTTTTTTTATGTTGAGAGATCATATTTTTGTATGAATCATCATTTATATAAAACGGATTGAAATTCGGTGTGATGTACCTTTCTAAATCTACTGGAAAACTATTTAACTTTGTTAACATTGTCGAACTATAATATTGTTCTTTGGAATTATTTATACTATTCCTAATACTATTAAGATGCCGTTTTTGTTTTCGAGACAATGAAGACGGTGGTCCTTCTGGGTAGTTCTCGTCTGAAGAACACCCAGTGTCATCAGTTTTTAATTTTATCGATTGCAAAATTTGAAAATATCGCCTCTTGGTTCTATACGAAACATAATCTACATTCGTTTTCTTCTTTTCTTGTTTCGGGTCCATCCCAGGAGGCAAATTTCTTATTTGAGAGAGAAGTTTACTATGAGATTCTAGTACATCATTTTTCAGCTGCTTCCTAAACACTTTATACCTAAAAAATAAGATATAGTTATTATCAATTATGACACAAAAAATCTGAAAAGAATAAACGTTGCATTTTTAGGAAAATATGAGATAAATGGATCATTGATCTGTTGTAAATAGAATCAGTAGGGTTTCTTCTTCTTCGAAGATAAGGAGATTTTCCGTGAGATCAATGATCGGAATAGCTTTAAGAAGGGTCTTTTTGAGAATTACCTTTTTTTCGGGAAGAGGTCTATTTGTTTTAAAACCTCTGATTTTTAGTTCGTAGTCGATTTGGTTTATTTTTACAGTTGAAGATAATAGAAGACTCCATTTTATTTTAGTTTAAAACTCGCTGGAACTTGTAGTTTTGAAAAAATATACTTATATGGCATAGTGAGGGAACATGAAAGAAAATCAAGCTCCAAGCGTTGAGCGCTACTGGGGTAGTTAGCCATGGACGTAGCAAAAAAATTTTTAGGGGTTAAAATTGAGAAAAATTTTAAGATACTTTGAACATGCTTTAAAGGAACCGCTTTATAATAAATATATAGAATAATGTCCACGAAACATAGATGCTTGCATACAAAATAATGTAAACACTTAACACAAAAGAACGAGAAAAATGTAGAAAAAGACTGAATTAAACACTATGAACAAATATGGTTTCAAAAAGACGCAATGGACAACAGTTGAAGACACAAAAGGATTAGACGAAAGATATATGGAAAAACTGAAACAAGCGAAAAAACGACGTCCTATTTAGTAGTTATCGAGAAAGAGGCATCATTGGAGATTTCAAAGACTTACAATTAAAAAAACTGTGTAAGAATTGTGTGTAAAAAAGTTTCTGCCAAAAAACTCTAGACCTCTTCAATTCAGGATACTCCAGAAACGTGGATTTATTCATACGAGCCAGAAAGTAAGAGACAGTTGTCTCTTTGGGAGTGAAAGTAAGGGCCAGTTGTCTATTTGGGAGTTTCAAGGTGAAGAAAAGTCAACACAAGTGATCTGTTCTCTAAATATCTTCAAAATGGCAGCAATACTTGTCTCGAAAATAGGTCATGTAGTAACAATACAGTATTGTGCCAATTCATGGAACCATTGTGATATTTTCAATGTTCACAGCTGGCAACACTGTCAACATTGTCCAACTGACTAAGCATTGAAAACACAACCTTATTCTTATCAGCCTTTTATTTTAAGGTGTTTTATGACATTTCCCACTAAGTTGTGTTGTTTTATACTATTTTGTGTTGTTTTCGGTAATTACCTAGTGAGTTTTTTTCGTTTTAATTCCATTATGGATATTACACCTTATTGAACCCTCGAATTACTCTCTAACTGAACTGTAGACGACTGGGAAAAGTCATATTTACAGATGAAACTCACTTTATAGTTCAGGGACAGAGGTCGAAATTCGTCAGGAAGTCTGACAATGAAAACCTTACACCATCTCATATTGATTAAATCGTAAAACATTCAGTCAAAAAATATTTTGGGGATGTTTTTCATACGTAAGAGTTGGACCTTTGATACCAATCGAAGGCGTGACGAATAGCCAAAAATAAAAATCCATGTTGGAACAGCGTTTGAACACAGAACTCCAAAAATTTCAGCCCAAAGAGGAGCGAAATGAACTGTTTTTTCGTTAAAACAGCCTATGATTCCATTAATTCGCACAGTATTGTAGCTTTACAAGATTAAACTGTTACTGCTGATTAGTAAACAACCAGTTCTTAGCGGCAAGTCATCGCTAAGTTTACAAAAAAGAATCTCAAATGACGAATCATCTTCCACCAATACAATGGAACTTAATATACTAACGAGTAACACCAATATCGAATTTTTGATGTCACAATTCGAAGTTTTACATCATTCTCCTCGTTCCTACTTAAGTCCCAACGATTCGATCAGAAAATCGAGTAAGGAGTAGTGGTCATAGGTTAGAATCGTACCAAATATCGAATGGGATAACTATATCCAGACTTGATTGAAGGATGTAAAAAAAGTGAATAAACCTGAGAAAACTTCCAAAAACATTGATTAAAGCAAATGTATCTATTGGTTCATTCCAGGTCTATATGTAAACTATAAAAGACAACCATCCCATATGCTACTATATTTTTAATTTAAAATACTAAATAGTACTCAGTATCTTACCTATATTTTGCTTCTTTCTTTTCGGCCTTTTTGATAATCTTCCGCATATGAGCTATATCTGGTCTGAAGTATCCAGCTTTTAAGTCATCGTGAAATTTAACTAATGGACTAGTAAATTTGAATACTTCAAAATCAAATAACCTCTGTAAAGTTTTCGTTTTTTCTAGTTCATCATCAACAGGAAAGTTCGGTAAAAAGGTCTGAAGGTGCTGCCTATTTTCTTCCGATAACGAATTCCAGGTTTCTGTTGACAATATTTCCTTAAATATATCTTGTCTTTCACATAATCCCTGTGGTAATTGTAGTTTGATATTTCCTATTTGAGCTATTTCCATTCCATCATCTTCCGAACTTTCTGTACTGTAATCTGACGAAGAACTATCTTCACTGCTTGAATTATCCATTTTGATTTAATTGTTTCCTAAAAACCACATTAAATCAACATCTTTATCCTAATACTAAAAATTATAAAGAATTAACCCTATTCAATTATATAGTACATATACGATTATAAGAAAACATTATTAATATTAAATATCATATAAATTTATTAATAATAATATTGTTACGAGCATGCATTCGGCGTGGCCCATGCAACGGTTGCATTTTGAAAGGGCCAAGAACCTTCCAGATGAATCGAGCGCGGGAGAGATCGACCCGTCAAACAGGCAAATTAGGGGTGGACTACTCCAGAATATTCTAGTACATAATAACTTTTAATTTAAATAAGCAGACCTTCTATGAGTTCAGTTTAGTTGATAAGATATTTTCGTGCTGTATGTACACTTATAAATAAATATATTTATATAAATTAGAACTGCTCGTCTTATTTAATCTCGCTACAGTGGTGTCTGGTGTGAGATTTAGAAATAAATTCAGTAGTGATTGCTAAATAAAAAAAAAAACTTTTTGAAAAAAAAAACATTTGAAAAGTATAGTTCGTCGGGAACCGCTGCGTAGTTCGGTAGTGATCTTTAAAAAAAAAGAACATTTTAAAAGTACGTGTGTGCCTGACCAAAGATGCTGCTAGTAGAACTTTTAATAAAACAGTTGCGTGAGCAACTAGAAGAACGCGATCAAGACTGCAGCGGGTCGAAGAAGATCCTTCAAGAACGACTGAAGGATGTTCTCAACAAGAATGGAGATGACGAAAAGTTTAACGAAAATAAAAAATGTGTCGCAAATGATCGAAGAAACTTATAGAAAAAATGACGATAATTTTTAAAATGTCTCGCAAATGATTGAAGAATGTTCTAGAAAAAATGATAATAAATTTGAAAATGTTTCTAGAAGATTTGACGAGAAATTTGAAAATGTCTCGCAAATGATTGAAGAAACTTCTCAAATTATTAAAGAAGCAGCTAGACAAAATGACGAGAAATTTGAAGAACATTCGATAAGATACAGAAAAATGTTAACTACGTAGAAGAGATGATCAAACAGCTAGAGAGCATGATAACTGATATGAAACTGTTACCACCTGTTAATACAGTAGCTTTAGATCCGGTAGTGAAAGAAGAGTCACCGAGAGACGAAACGACACATCATATGAGATGCAAATTGCCACCATTTGATGGAAAGTCATCTTGGTCCATATACCATATACAACTTAAAGCTATTGCGACAACCAATCATTGGACAGAACAAGAAAAGGCTGTTTCCTGGACTGCTGCTTTACGAGGTGATAGTGCGGATATCCTAAGATCAATTTCTAAGGGACAAGAAAAATGTTACCAGACCTTGTTCACTCGACTAGACAAACGTTACGGAGATGCCCATCTACAACAAGTCTACAAAGCACAACTAAGAAGTAGAATTCAACGAGCAAGTGAAAACTTGCAAGAGTTTGAAGCATATCTTGCTCGTTGGTGCGGTTAGTTTATCCAGAGGCACCAGACAATTTTTGAAAGAAATTTCTGTAGATATCTTTGTCAATGGGTTAACAGACAATGAATTACAGAAAGCTTTACGACTAGCAAGACCGAAAGTTTTAGATGAAGCGCTCGCCATTGCCTTGGAACACGAGACAGCTACTCGAGCTTCAACAAAACAAAACTCGAAAAAAAAACAATAAACGTCTGGAGGAAATCGTACGGAAAGTAGTTGTAACACGATGCAAAAGAGACGCGAAACCAGATGTTGGAATTGGTGGCGATGTAGGTCACATTCGTCGTAAATTGCAAGAAAATAGAACAGAATAGAAAGCTGGAACAGATGGAAACGCTGGGCTGGAAAAAGTCATTCAAATTCTGATGCTGTCAAGACGGCCATACAGTGCAAATCCTAATCATTGTCTTAAATTAGAAGAACGACTTTGCCCCGTGAGACGAACCATCGTCATTAAAGATCAATGGCAGCCTCAACGGCTACAAGCCGCCCAAGCAGATGATCCATGTATAAAAAGAGTATTGGATTTGATGCGTCGAAGTGAAAGACCTTCTTGGCAAGACATTAGTGCATGTAGTCCAGAAGTCAAGTGTTACTGGAGCCAATGGAATTGCCTAGTGCTAAAAGATGATTTTCTATATAGAACCTTTGAGAACGATGATGGCACAGAATCTAAGCTTCAGTTGATAGTACCGAAAAGTAAAGTATTAAAAAAGAAAAATTACATATAGTTATAAAAGATTATACATCATGTTGTTAAAAAACTGTGATGTTCAGTATTAAATTAATTATGACTTCATGTACACATAGCTAGAAACTAAGTTTCCAGCTGTTCTCCGTGCGTAGAGGTTTACTCCCCGGCTCTGGAACTCAATTTTACAATGTATGTTACCTGAAGTCATATTTAATTTAATACTGAACATCACAGTTTTTTAACAACAAGATGTATAATCTTTTATAACTATATGTAATTTAAAGGGTTTTTACCCATGTATTTTGGTGGCTCAGGCATTTTAACCTAGCGATTTTAAACCTGATGATGGACTGTTTAGTCCGAAAAACGTATGTTTTTTTATGTAGCCCTTTGAAGGGTTGTTTAAATAAATATACCCACTTACGAAGACTAACCTCTTTTTTTGTGATACGTGGTATACAGCCAGCTACAGGAATTGTTTTCCTTGTGGATTTTGAAAAGTAAACTGTCAGAAGTATTCCGTCTGTTGCATGACGGTGCATCAGGTGGACACTTTGGTATTACGAAGACTCTGCAAATGGTTCGAGAACGGTTCTATTCGGTGAACTGTAAAGATGATGTAAGAAGATGGTGCCGGAAATGTGAACTGTGTGCAACCAGTAATGGTCCAGTTGGTAAAAAGAGGTCACCCATGAAACAGTACAATGTTGGAAGTCCTATGGAAAGAGTAGCAATCGACATTGCAGGTCCACTTCCAGATACGAATAATAGAAATAAATATATCCTAGTAGCCATGGATTATTTTACGGAATGGACTGAGGCCTATGCGATACCAAATCAAGAAGCTGCTACCGTTGCAATGGTACTTGTTAGAGAGTTCTTTAGCCAATTTGGCGTTCCCTTGGACATCCACCCCGACCAAGGGCGAAACTTCGAGTCAACCCTTTTCCAAAACGTTTGTAAATCGATTGGTGTCAATAAGACCAGAATGACACCCCTGCATCCTCAATCAGATGGAATGGTCGAGAGGACGAACCGAAGGATGAGTTTGGTTGCAGACCTTCCGAAGAACATGCTGCAAGAGAAGATTATGTCGACCGCCTGAAGTTAAGAATCAACAACATTCATGAACTTGCCCGACAACACATCCAGTTAGCCAGTGACATAATGAAAGATCAATATGCTTCTCGATGCAAGAATGAAAGCTGTGAAGTAGGTGATCTTGTTTGGCTTCATAATCTACAACGTCGTCGAGACTTGTCTCCTAAACTGCAAAGACAATGGGAAGGTCTGTATGAAATTAAAAAGAGAATAAATGACGTAACATACCGAATTAAGAAGTTACCACCGAAATAAACAGAAGAAGCACGAACCCTTTAACATGAGATCAAAGATGGCCGACGATCAAGCTTTAATGAATTTATGTCAAATTACGTAGAGAGAAAGAGTGCTAGATTCGGCGTGACCACAGAAGTTCAGCAGGATCTTTTTAGTATTCCGCATAACGTCTCTCTAGCCCACTGTGTTGCCCAAGATCTTGAGATGACTAAAGGAATCTCATCCGTATTTTATAAGAAGTTCGGTCATTTGGACCAGTTAAGAAATCAGCAGCCTAAAGTTGGAAGAGTTCTGAGATTAAAAAATGGCCCTCGATCTTTGCTGTATATTGGTGACTAGGAAGTCGTATACAGACAGGACAAGCTACGAGGATATATGGCGTGCTCTAACTAATTTGAAGAAAATCGTGTGCAATTATGACAAGAATTTTGGCCTCACCCAAGATAGGCCATGCACTAGAAAATCTGGATTGGAAGATTGTCAGAAGCATGCTTGAAGTGATCTTCCGAGAAACCGGCGTACGAATTACTGTGTGTTGTATCAACCCGAATAGATCGTGTCCTTCAAAGTCTGTAGATTGTTATTTCTTCTTGAGGAGTTCATGCAGAACTGGAGAGTTCTGTAGATTCCGCCATCCTATGCCTACATCTGGAGTTGCTGATCGGGATGTTCAGATCTAAGAGGGAAGCAGTGTAACGAAATAGCCCATCTCCTGTGCATGGTATGTGTCACAATTCGTAGAAGGATAAATCTAAAAAAGTCGAAGAGTTCGCATATCAATAGCGCTCATCTTCGATACGATTTCGATGAGACGAATTAGAGGTGGGCTGCTCCAGAATCTTCTAGTACATAATAATTTTTATATATAAGCATACCTTCTGTGAGTTTAGTTGATAAGATATTACCGAACTGTAAACTTATAAATAAATATATTTATATAAATTCGAACCGCTCGTTTTATTTAATCTCGCTACAATACAATCACGTGCGGCTAAACAAGTCCGGTAATCTAGGGTTAAGGTTTAAAATGTTAGTTCTATAATATTTACTCTTTTCAAAATTGTTTAAAATAAAAAACTTCGTTCTAAACATTTGCTTTATTCTTATACAACAGGGCATTATAGGCCTTAACGCCCGCTTATTACGCCCTAGGATATAACAAGTGTGTTTATGGTAACCGAATTTAAGCTAAAATAAACAAATAATATGCGTGAAAAATAAAAATATAAGTAACCGCAGCATATAGTAATTTAACATTGTTTGAATTTATTAATGGATTATCGCAGGTGATTAACACGGTACTGAAAACAAGGTATGAACATATATTGAATATATAATCTGGGTGATTTATTAGAACTTACGATAATATTCAACAAGTCAATACAGATTAATCCTTTGTAAAACGTAAAAAAAGGTGTATATATTTCAGAACCACCTGAGCAAGGAGTAAACGAAATAATAAAATATCTTAAAAACAACAAAAGCCCAAGCGAGAACGGAAA